AAGAACAGAAAAGGGCGGAGTGGGTGGGTTCTTTTGGGCACGGCCGATCGGCTCGTGCCAAAATGGCCACGGATAAATGGCCTCAGGGCAGTTCTTACGATCGCAAAACTGATCCCCCAATTCCAGACCTACCTAGCCGATAATTAGGAGACATATATATATATATATATATCTGTGTGTGTGTGCGCGCGTGCGCGCACGGATGCTAAGAGAATTCCACGGTTTGACTACTGTCTATACAACATGTCGTCATTTGGGTGGGCGTGAGCTTGGGTGCGGGCAAGGGTGTTGTTATGGACGTGCGTGCGGGGATGTGCCCTCTGCACACACGCACATGTCGGAGATCTTATGCTCAGTCGCATGCCAGGAGAGAGATCTGGGTCGCGGAACCAACCTCGGCCGAGGTCGCCGATTCCATGCAATGTGCTTCGAGAAGGCAGACTTTACCAGTAGCTTCCCTTGCGAAGGTACAAAGCACAACTACATTGCCGTCATCAAATCGATGCTGGACATGACCCCAGCTGGACTGGTTGAGCCATGGGCTGCGATGCCAATGGCAAGCCCGGGCCGATCCTGAAGTCCAGAAGGCGGTTTCGAATTCGAGTCTTACAGTCTTACAGTAGACAGTTGAGTGCCCTTAGGGTTTCGCCACTTGCCACCCTCTGCAAAAGGATTTAGTGGCCCCCCTGAACCCGTAATGGGGCGTTCCCTCCCCACCCCTGCTGTCCAAAATGAGTCCTCCAAGGGCTCAGCATTGCGAAGTGAGTGCCAGGGCAGGTCTTTAAAATGCTCGGGGCAGCCAGCGAATGCATTCCAATGGGCGTTACAAGCTAGAAGGTGGGCGCAAACTCGGATCAGCGTCTCCGATTCCAGTGTGGCACTAGCTTGGCTGAAAGAACTCTGGCATAGCTCTTTGATGTCAACTGCCGGGTGCTGCATGTTGCTTGATTCTGGGCATCATTGGCCGCAGAACACCGATGACTACAGTAAGCCAAGCAAAGTCAGTCAAAGACCTTTCCAGATTCTGCTATATGCTCAGTAATAGCCATGCTCCATGAAGTTGGTGGTGCCTCCAAACGCCAGATTGCCCCACCATACAAAGGAGCCATCTACTCTCGCAGCAGCGAAGGCGCGCATCGAGGCATCTAAACGATGAATGTCGTGCAACTGCTCCTGTACTGCACAGCTGTCTCCGCCATACTCTGCGCTACCCCATGTCACGACACTTCCGTCACCTTTGAGAGCGGCAAACGCTCGCAGTGAAGGGCAAAGCTGCTGCACGTTGACCAGAAGGTCAGCGGCAGCAGAGCTGTCACCCCCGTGCTCTGCGCTCCCCCAAGTCACAACTGTCCTATCCCTTCTCAGAGCAGCGAAAGCTCCGCCTGTGGCTACAATATGTTGGACTCCATGCAGCTGACTGTGGACAGCCCGACTGTCGCCTCCGTATGCATTGTCGCCCCAGGTCACAACAGTCCCATCAGCTCTCAATGCTGCGAAGGCAAAAGCATTTGCATGGATTGCTTTCACATCTGCCAGCTGTTCGCGGACAGCTTCGCAGTTGCCACCACAGCTGGAAGCCCCCCATGTTACCACGTCTCCAGCCGATCGGATCGCCGCAAACGCATGGGTGGATGCTATGACCTGCTGCACGTCCGTGAGCTGGTGTTGCACAGCTTCACTGTCGCCACCCACAATGGCATCGAAGTCTGGCCATAGCTTGCAACACCATGTTGCCACTGTTCCATCCGCTTTGATGGCTGCAAAAGCCCTAGAGGCTCCAACAATCTCCGTAACATCTGTCAGCAACTCCCGGACCGTGTCACTGTTGCCACCACAGGACAGAGAACCCCAAGTGATTACGGTCCCATCGTGCTTTACCGCAGCGAAAGCACCAGTGGTAGAATACACGCATCGCACATCTTGGAGTTGGAAGTTGATATCTTCCGTATCGCCGCCATATGCTCCGCTACCCCAAGCAATCACGGATCCATCACGCCGAAGAGCTGCGAATGCTTTGTATGTCGCCTGCACGGAGCAAACATCCTCAAGCATGGCTTCTACGGCTGTGCTGTCCCCACCGCAGTCGGGATTGCCCCATGTCACGACCTTGCCATCGCCACAGATGGCAGCAAAAGCACCAACTGTGGCCTGCGTCGACCAGTTACAGCTATACCGTGATTCGGGTCGTAGCTTTGTGGAATAATGATGAGTTAAGGAAACATGTCTTGTCTTTCATGGGGGCACCTTAACGTCCTGGACGTCCTGAAGCTTTTCTTTCACAGACAAGCTGTCACCGCCATTGGAGCCATGGCCCCACGTCGTCACCCTGCCATCTGTGCCGATGGCAGCAAAAGACCTCCCGAGCTTGTGGGCAAAGACCTGATCCGGGATGGAGGGAATTTGTTGTGGGTCCTTCAGGTCCTTCATGACACGTCATGATACAGGAGCAAGGTAAATCCTCGCTGGCTCTAAGGTACATGTATCGCACCCGAGTCGCCTAGATTAGTTTGGCAATGTTTGGCTTTTCCCGATACGCAAGTCACAGAAGATGATGCACGCGCTCACGCCTCAACCTCTCGGACGATGGCGGAAACAACGTCACCGTCTTCGATTCCTTCTTCTGCCAAACTTCTGAAGGCCTGCAGGACTTCTCCTGTCGAAGTCACTAGAGCACCTGAAGTAGCAGCAGGCAGAGGGAAGGCTGTGGCTGTCTACCCACATGCCGTCTCAGAAACCATATGTCGGCAAACGATTACTCCTGAAAACTGATGCAGTTAGTTATCCCAACCTGAAGACCCTGCTAGCCAGCCCTGTTGTCCCAGTTGCGGATGCCACGCCCCAAAGCAGACTGTGCTGCACGACGCAAGGCGGAGATCAACGCGTGTCGGGGCAGAGACACGCTCGCCCGGCCGCCGCTCAGAATGCACACCGTCACGGTGATGGCCATGGCTCTAAGGCATATCCCCGACACAGCAGGATGTTCCGGGACCTGGGTAGAAAACGTGTGTGAAGTGGAGACTGTCCGGCATGTCTGGTCGTGTGATCAGGAGGATAACCAGGGGCTGCCTCGTCACAGGCTACAATGCTTACAGCTGTGGGCCGTTTTTGCGATCATTTGTAATCAGGCGACGCCGAAGGCTCTGCAAGAAATTTCCTCGTCGCATCGCAAGTGGTAGCCCAGTCCTGCATGGCAAATCGGATGGCGCTTGCCTGGGCTTGCACGCAACCACCCCAGAAGCATCAGTACCAGCACAATCACCACGCCACCACCACCATCAGCTACAATAAGACAACCAATATTGAATAATGCTACTGCTACTTTGGAGTACTTTGACGGAGTACATGAGTACTGCTGCAGTTACAGCAGCAGGAGCCACAGCAACAGTAGCAGCACGAGCTGCAGAATTCTTAGGACTCTTCCCGAATGGGAGAGTGGTGAATCAAAGACAACACTATAACAGCAGCAGCAGCAGTAGAAGCAGAGCACTGACAATGGAGAAGGCGGTGGTACTGCCACTCCTACTACGGTGACTTCTGAGATGCACTCTGACTCTTGGTCTTGCCATTGTTGTTGCCAGACTTATTTCGAATTGGATTGTGGATCGCTTCTTGGTGAAAGGCTTGACAATGCTTGACATGGCTGCATGGGGTGCCGCGTTGGGAAAGCACAAGTAAGGTGGATTCAGCTTCTCAGCGAGACTAGAAACTGTCAACCCTCCGGGGCTACACTTTACGCAGTTTCTTTCAGACTAGCCAAACGAGGGCCCACAGGTCAGGTCTCCCCAGCAAGCTGCAAATCAGTGAGTTGGACGTATAGTTGAACCCTCGCAACACGCTCTCATCTCGAGACCAGGACCCAGATTCCATCAAAAAACTTTCTATAGGCAATAGGGTTCTGGACTGTTGAAGATTTAAGACGATATTCTATTCCAGCCACGTCTGGGAAAACACGAAACCACGAGATTGGAAGTGTTTGCACAAGGATTTCATGCTCTCGTGATAGATGAACCACGTTTCATACCTGGGGTTTTTGGTGGCCTAAGTCTACATCAGGAATCAGGCGAGCTGAGAGGGGTATAAGCAGTCTGGCAGGCCACGCAACACGGTGCAAACATGAGGCCTACGGTCCGACAAGACCGGTATGGCTCAGAAAGGGAAGTTCTACGAATCCGACACGCCGACAGCAGCAGTACAAAAGCAGCAGCAACAGCAACAACAAAGGCACCAACACCGAAACACTATCAATGAGGAGCACGAAGCGGCCAAGCGGGGCAACTGGGGCCGGGAGAAGGCCGTGATGTTGCTATACAAGCCAAAGGTTGACTTTCTGGAAGCTGCCCGTTTTGGGTCGCGCCTTTCCTGGACAACCTTTCATCAGCTGTTTGAACGGCAGTCTCTTCACAGCATCGTACTCAAGGGTACGCCGCTTGCCGTGGCATGACGACACAGAGTTCTCTGCTGTTGCGCAACTGACACGATCACGCACATGCAGGTCTTGTGCACCACATCAAGCACTTTGCCTGCATTGCATTCTGCGCTGGGACGCTGGCATGTTCGCAAGCGTTGCCAGCGATCGGCAGAAGGACAACTCCAATGAAGCCTCAAACATCGACAGCCATCGACCGGGTACCAGCAAACCCCTCTTTGCCCGCCAAGCTCGAGTCCGCAAGCATCGAAGAATCATACGTAGTAAGTCCATGTCCCAGTGAGGCCAGGTTCAGGAACCCAAGGATGCACTTGAGCCCCTCCGAAATGCTCGTGACCTTGCTCCCACCCTCCTTTCTGAATCGTAGAGTCGCAGAGATCGCAACCCCAAACTAAAACCCTCAAGCACTCCCCACAAAAAGAAATCTCAACTAACTTTAAACCCTAAACCCCTAAACTCTCTAGATGCCGAAATCGAGCAGAAGCACTGGACACGCCGTCACACCAAACCCGATTCCCTAACACCCAAACCCGAAGACCTTTTCATCAGAGCTTTGCTTCCTTAGGCTCTCTGAGCTCAGTAGCTCTCGGGGAGGCCGTTTGACCGCACCACCTAGCGGAGTATTTGGGCTTGGATTGGATTCACAGCTAAGGATTGGGACTTTTAGATGTTGCCACCCGCAACGCGGCAATCCCGGGCTGGGTTTCGGGTCTTAGGGTTTGCGGTAACTGGGAGATGATACTTCAAGCTCTGTTTTGAGGCTGAGGGGCTCAGGGCTTCAGGGTTCCGGCTTTGCGGTGTCGACTCGCACACACTCGCGGAAGGCAGGCATGGCTTCACGACCTTGGGGTTTAAGGTCCAAGGTTCAAAGGATTATGTGCTTGCTGCTGGTGGCAATAGTGGGGGGTTTTGCTGCTTTGCTGCTTTTCTTGCTTCTGTTATTCTTAGGCATTGCTGCTGTTGACGTTGCCGTTGCCGTTGCTGTTGGTGGCGGTGGTGGTGGCCTTGCTGTTGCTTGTGCGGCTGGTGCTGGTGCTGGAGGGAGTGCTGTTGCTGGTGCTGGTGGTGGGTGGCTGTTGCTGTTGCTGTTGCTGCTGCTGTTGTCGTTGTGGTTGTGGCTGTTGTGGTTGTGGTTGTGGCTGTGGCTGTGGTTGTGGTTGTTGTCGTGGTGGTTGTTGTTGTTGTTGTTGTGGCTGTGATTGGTTGTTGGTGGTTGGTGGTTGGTTGGTCGTCATCGGTCTTCGGTCGTCGGCGTCGTGGTCGTGGTCGTTGTGGTTCTTGTTGTTGGTGGTGCAGGTGTTGTGGTTGACAGCGGGTGCTGCTGCTGCCGCGGAGGGTTCGTTGATTGCAGGCCCTCTCGAGTTTCGGCAGGTTGCAGCCTAGGCTTAGACCATGATGTTTTGCGAGGTGCTCATGTAGCGGTATTCACGGTGATTCTTGCGTGACTGTAGAGGATCGAGTACTTTCACGTTGCAGGGCCTTGTTGCATCGGCATCTGCACCTATTGATTGTCCGGGTGGGGGAGGGGGGGATTGGGGGCCCGTAGTGACGTCGAACATGGCATTGTGGATTACATATGTGTTTTGCTTCCGGGCGGATGACGTCCGTGGCAGTGCGGATTGTGCATGCAGTTGTGTTTTCTTGGTGCTTCAGCGCATACTTGCTTCAGTGCAGTTGTGGGGAATGGGGAAGGGGGTGTGGTGATGACGTCCGTGCCTCCTAGGCATACAGTCTCCTCAATTGTTAAGATTCGGAGCCTTCTCGCGGCCGCATCTGCTTTTTTGCTGCGTGCCCCAGGCGTTTGTTTGCGGGTTTGGGCTTGGAGTCCTATGCAAAGTTAGGCTGTTAAGGTATGGGGTTCAAGTTCCGGTTCAGAGGTTTAGGCTTGTTCACGCTCTCTTGGGCTTTTGGCTGATTCGGATTTCTGCACCAAGTCTTGGTAGAACGGATACAGTATACAGGTTATGAGGGCCTTGAGCTGCCAGCCAACAAGAATCTCAAGGAACCCCGGGTGCTGTACCAAAGACTTCAATACTTACTACCAAAATCAAACAACAAAATCGACTGAAACCACGGTACTTGCGACACCTGATCTACACCAAAAAAACAAGAACAAGCTTTCCTCAAAAGTCTCTTGTACAGAAGAAACACCAAAGCAGCTCGAGGCTGTTGCAGATCACTGCACAAAATCCAACGACACACCCTCCGCTGCAGCAGACGTGCCCGTTGCCTTTCTGCTGTTGTTGTTGTTCTTGCTGTTGTTGCGGCTGTGGCTGTGGTCTGCGGCTGTGCTTGTGCGGTTGGCGGTTGGTGGTTGAACCATCCGCCCTCATGGGGCCAAGAGGCTCTACGCAATACCTTGATCTCTACAATCCCTTTCTCGCTGCGAGAGGCGGTGATGACATTTGGCTCTTCCGTGCAGCCAACGTTTACGCCCTGAAGCACACTACTACGTAGTAAATGGACTGATGTTGTGATGTTGGATCGAAGCAGCATCCCCTCCTGTTCGCTGCTGAGCCATCCACTGACTCGATGACATCCACGAGAAATTCGGAGTTGACGGCCTTAAGCGACGGGATGAGGGTTCCTTGAAATAGCTGAGTAGCTTAACCAGCTGCATGCTCTGCTAGCCCTCATGATCAGCTCAAACTATGCTCCCAGCACTCCGAGCCCTGAACGAAAAAGTGCAGATCAAAACGCCAGTGCAATCGAAACGAGTTGCTGTAATGGCCAAGGGAATATGCAAGGCAGCCGCAAGGTGGTCGCCTGCTGTGTGTGCCCGATTTCGTTGCCATATCCAGGCCCCGGACCACGGCCAGCGTCGACACAGCCATCAAGCCTGTTGCCTTGGACTCTCTGTAGCAGTGCGCACAAGTGGGGTGTGACCATGAGTCGGGCGTTTCGGCTTCGAAACCTGACCTGACATGAGGCACATCAGCTTTGCAATACCCCGGACGCAAACTCCACATCTCGCACACACCTACCATGAACCTACACGGCGAAGGGACCGCCTTTTGATTGCCGAAATCGCTGCTCCTGAAAATATAAAGGTGCTCGACAATAATGACTGCTCCTAGATCGAAGTGAGCGCCCCACGCAAGACGCGGAAAGCCCGGGGCCTGCATCATCCTTTCCGAAAGCTTCGGACATGTGTGGGAGGGTTGCTTCCGCTTAGTTCAGGCTTAAGACTGTCTTTGTGGAGCGCCAAAAAGACGGCGTCTCACATGCTAGTGTCACAGAAAAGTCGCGGCACCATCTTCCACTCTGTAATTGAGGGTTGGACTGTTCGAATCAGGAGGTTCAAGACAGCTGCTGAACAATCAGGAGTATTTTGTGTTTTGCTATGCTTTGGAGACGCAAGATGAATAGCCACGGGTTTCTGCACAAGCGGACTTCTGCACCCAGTGTCCGCCCCACATCCTGATCATGATTATCTGACCATGTCCTTCTGAGAATGACTGCTCTGTGATTTTGGACATCACCATGTTGCTATCCAGATTCGGTGGCTTGCCATTGCTCAATGCACGTTGCAAACCCTTAACTGTCACATGGCTTTCGGCCAAGTCCTCATCGTCTTCCTCTTCGTCTTCGCCCTCTTCGAGTCCCGGACTCAGAGCCTCTTCCTGCCCAGCTCATTGCTGGCATTCCACACTAGTGGAAAAGCTGCTCTCAAAGATTGTGCTGCAAGTCCCGCTAAAGGCGGATGCTGAGATGCGTGGTAACACGTGGCAACAGAGGCTTCTGACTTGCAAGGGTGTGTGGACCGAGCTATACCCACTTTTTACCTCTGTACATCATCGCAACGGCGGCACCCAAGGGCGGCGTGCAAGGTGCAGTCTTGACAGATTAAACCACGGATCGGCTCAGCCAAAGCTGCTTCTGACTCCCTTCGCATGTGGAAAGCTGGTTGGCAAGGCAAAGCCGTGAGACTACATAGGTTGTTGCTCATGCACTTCTTCCCACACTGAGGCCCCAATGTTGGCACGGGAAAATCGAAAGTTAAGACATTAACACCCTGCAATCAGAGACCGGCAACATACTTCATTGAACGCTGCACATGCTCAACGGCCGAGCAAGACTTCAACCGACTGCAGCGTGCTCTGCCTTTCCTGGGTTATTGACATTGAAACATCTTAACGGGGACCCACGCCGATGCAGAAGAGAAATCGTTCATTTGCGCGAAGACCTGAAGACGCTTCATCTCGGTTTCTGTAGCTCCCCGGCGTTCCTTGAACTATCATGTTATTGCCGGAGGTAATTCTCCAGTGCGCAGCCGCATGTGGCATGAGTTGGTCTGCAGGTGCTTGGACGGCGGTTCAACGTCGCATACTACGAATGTCATCTTGATACCACACCGTTCCACATCTCGCCGGTGGCGTGCCGGAGGTGTCGCTCCTGGTACTTATTCTGCCTTCAGACAGTTAGAAAAAGGTGTGCAAAAGCCGCGTTGGTCCTCCTGGTTTATGGAAGTTTACCGGCTCTTCGGATTCTCCGACCGGTGGTTTTCACATGATACACAATGGGGGTAACTCCTGCTAGCATGCCGCTCACTTGAGCGCACATATGCTTTTCAATTTCTGCTGTTCTTTGATAGACCTGACAAGGGACTGTGACATGCCCACCATTTCAAACATGTGCTGGCCACGGGCTACTCTGGCAGGTCCGGGCATCCGACAGGGAAGACATCATGTACTCGATGTCAAACATGGTCGGCAGCAAATTCCTTTTCGGCTCCAGGCTATAGAACCTTCGGGACATTAACCTGTGAGCCACCCGGAGGTCAGAGTTTTGAGCAGTGCTGTGGGCGGCTTTGCGGTTTCTCGAACAGGCGAATTCGTCACACGATACTCCTAGTTCTGGCATGTCTGGACGAATTGAACTGCTGCGGACTTCTGACGCCATCTTGCTGACCAGATCTGCGGTTTGGACTGCATTATCTTTTCGCGGTACAGCTGTGCTTCCGTGCCTCACTGGCCGGTCGACCATATATGCATATATATATATGATATATTTATACATAGATAGATAGATAGATAGGCCTTGGATCAGCTCGAGGCAGAAGCCTAAGGCAGCTGGTGGAGCAGCAATCGTCCAGCTACCGTAGTAGGGTCAAGTCTTATAGGAGGGGGACTTTACAGAAACCATTACCGGCATTACCGCTTCGACTGCGGGCAGCTGCCAGTTGTGTAACGCCGAATGGCGTTGGAACTCGCGCGGATGTTCTGCCTAAGCCTAAACGGAGGAACATGCAAACACGTCAATGGAAGGTGAGGCAACTCCACAGAAGCCTAACTCGAGATCCTTAACGCCTGGTGCCCTAGGGGTGCACACCAGTCATACTCAACAGCTGTAGCAGGAAGCCCTCAACAAAGTCTTACTCTCGGATTGTTGCTTTCGTTCCACCAGCGAGGTCGTGCACTCAGCACTGCCATTCAAACGGTGGCGGGCGCAGGCTGGATGTATCTGGATGTAATGAGATGCTCTACCTCCAACAGGATAGTAAGGACCTTGGTTACACAGCTACCGAAACGCAGGCAGGCAAAGGTTATTTTTGGCTGGGCCGAACCTACTGCCTAAGCAATGCACGCAGAGTCGGTCCCAAACAGGGATCGTGAGCGGGTTGTTCCCTTGCCTTGCTAGTTGCATTCTGTGCTCCTATAGGTCCTGCCTTATAACATCTACGAATCCAGGCATCGTCTGCATAGTCACATCGCCTGTCCCGAACTTGCTCACCCTAAGATCTCGAGGATCAGTCAGGTTTGTCAGAAGAGTGCTGGATGCGGCCGTGCGCTCCGAACAAGGCGCCACGGTCCCCGGAGTTCAAATCACGTCTGCCTACAGTCCTGCATACCCTGAGAAACACACCGTCTGCACAGAAACTCAGGTCTTGACACTTCAGAGACCAGGCCAGCCATGAGCAAGATGTTCAGAGCCGTGCATCTGAACGACTCAGGATAAACTCAGTTTTGCACATCTGCGCCGTCCGGCACAACGATTCAGTCATGCTGCCATCTGCATGACAGAGACGACCACATGCTAGATCAACGAAGGTACCACCATCATGTGCTGGCAGGCAGACGGTTGGTCATATTGCATGTTCACCGGTTACCGGGAAGCCTTATCAGACTCTCATTAGCTGGCCAGGAGGAGTGGCTAACTTTTCTGTTCGTATTGTATGAATCAGTTCTGTTTGTTAACACCACGGCCGCACATGCCTCCGAACCTAAAGCTAGAAGGCACACGCGTGCCCAGGGTATGAAGATGGCAAGCACTTGAAAAAACCTCTGGGGGAGGTGGCAGTGTTCGCACCTGCAGGCTTGATCCACCCAGTGTTCTCCTGGTCAGAGCTCGGATTTTGTTCAGTGCTTTGGAATTGAGGGTGCTATTTTGGTTGAGCCGCCCTTTTGTCAAGGGTTTTTGGGCTCACAAGACCAGGCTTCAACGAGTCTTGACGACCAGGAGCAATCAGCCCTGCAGGCGTGCATGCGACAATAACGGCTCGAGCGAGGGGCTATCATGTCTGTCCGAGCCAGGTTTGCTGCTGTGCGGTAGCACTGAGAACTTTGAATCAGCTTCCCCGTCAAGGACTGCGAACATGTAAGTATGTATTGATGCATGCATGCATGCATGCATGCATGCATGCATGCATGCATGCATGCATGCATGCGTTATAGTTGCAGAATTGTGCTAGGCGTGTGTGGCAGCATCTTCGAGCATCTTCTAAGGCATTAGAAAGCTTGTGCAACTTCTTTCGTTCGTGCACCCCCATCGTCATCGACTTGCCTACTTTACCGCCAAGCTCTAACACAGTGACCTTCAGAGATTTGCAGCTGCAGTCGAAACAAATTGGGGTGTCTAACTTCAGGCTACCATACAACCAGCTTCTGAGCATCGACCCTCTCGGCCATTCCACCCAAAAGAAGTGTAAAGCTCAAGGGCCTGCTCCCACGTTCCATGCCCGTGTCTTTCAGAGTTTACGACAGGGTTTCGAGTGAGCCATCCTGGGATGCTGGCTACAAGCGATGGTTTTTGTTACGACTAGGCCCCCGGAGGACCTTTCCAGCTCAGCCGCATGCCCATGCCACAGCCTAGAAAAATCTGGAAGCAAGACCAAAGGTGAAGGCTAGAAGATAGTAGCACATCTTCTGCACATCGGAGGCCGCAATGCGGACCCCTTTCATATAAAAACCAGCCTCACTCTGGATGATGTACTGCACAACGTATTGTCGCCCCGGGTCCATCCCAGACTCCACCTCGTCTTCCCCCTCGACCGGGGACTCAGATTCGAACTTCCACGAGTTCACTAGCGGCGCCACACGGCATGCCCTCCCGGTCACAGACGCAGCTCGAGCAAGTGTATAAAGGAATTGTAGGACAGGCGGATAGAGCCAGGCAATCCAGAATGCCGAGTCAATGTTGGCTTGCAGAAAGTCAGGGTTGCGCAAAACCCTCTCTGCGAGCAAGACCAGTGGCCCCAGGCACGACATTCCCAGAAGCAGGATCGCCCCACTGAGACGTCCAGACACCTGTGGGAGAAATGTGGGAGAAAGCAGGAAGAGTTCGACCAAGTTCAGGAATTGCCCGGTCTTGCGCCGAGTACGAACACAGCCTTTACCGTCCTACCGTACTGAATCCCAAACGCTGCCTTGCATGAAATGTCTTAAACCCTCAACCTTAAAGCCTTTGAGTGGGCGACACCCTGCCTGCCGCAAGGTCGCTTGCAGCATGTTCCACTCGTCGATCGCCTGCTCGAGGTCCATCTCCTGTTAGCACAGTACAACCTAATATTATATCATATCATACCAAATTATCACGACCGTTCCATGGACTGGGCTCGCGCTCGCTCCGGCAAGGTTGCAAGCGCCTCCACTGATACTACTGCGATATGCCGAACATCCCACGATCACATCATAAGCCAAAGCCAAGCCCTGAAAGACGAGAATCATCAAACTCCCCGATGTTCAACAAATATGTTAAGTGCCATGACGACAGCCATCTCCGCATCATGCTTGACTGTTTCAAGACTGTCTCCGCTGGGGCCACTGTGTGAATAGGGTGTCGGGCTTAGGGTTTAGGGTTAGGATGCACTACATAATTACGACCTTTAGAGGACTGTAAGCCTCTTGATGCCCTGCTTTAACCCGTGTGTATCGTCCAATTAAGCTCTCGGACGAGTGCGGGAACTGGATCCTTGAAGAAGCGAAAGCCAAAGCTGTCGATGGCAAGCTCCAAACCACCGCATATATGGAGCAGCACATATGCGACCAAGGTAAACCTTTGCTTCAGAAATTCTGCTCACGGGTCAACTATTGAAAGAGATTGTGTTGAAGGAGACCAGGTGTAAGATCGGAGTGATTTCACTGCGCTGGGACGCAAGTTTGATTTGGCGGTTTTCGTTGTAGAAATAGCTAATGAGCAAACACAGTCAGGTAAAAAACAGCTCCTGTTGGCTATCAGACACTGAATCTCCATAAATGCAAACGAGAGAAGAGCTAGAACGTCCATGCTGCTCCAGGCTCCTCTGTTTGCCAATATACCGACGATCCCCCTGCAGACGATCATCGGGGCGAGCAGAAAAAGCATCTCCACCAAGCGCCTTTTGGACAGCCGCCGCCAGTCCTTCAAGAAACCAGCCTTGAAGGCGTATTCATCTAGTGACTCCTCGCTGCCATTTAGCAACGACTGCAGGCCGCAGCGTCGAAGACTGATGGTTGCCAGAATGGCACCTGCAAAGTAGAAGCACGAGGCTTCGGTGTCAATCGCCTCCACAACGCCCAGCGTACTTGCATAGACAAGCATCGAGACCAGGATCACAGGAAAAACGCCATGCGCCCACCTCGAAAAGAGGCGCCAACAGCAACTTTCCCCAAAGTCCATGATACCGAACAAGCCCAAGAGGACCCAGGAGATGCATGGCAAAGCCGTTGAAATGCTCCAGTTGTCTCGAAGTTCTCGCATCTGCGAGGGCTCCGTCTGATTGGTGCGGCTCCTGGCTGCCTTCGGAGATCCATCCGCCGACAAGCGGGCCATGACGGCATCGTAGTTCTCCCGAAGCTCATCTAAGGACATGCGTCGACAATTCTTCAGCATTCCTTCTTTGTCCTTGGCTCCCTTGAGCGTGACAGCTCTTGGCTTTCCGAAGATCCTGGCCTCGTTGCTGTCAGGTCCTGGCTCACCGGCCGCTGGTTTCTGCGCGGTGGCATCTTCATCTCTGAAGTCAATGCCGACATCAACAGACCTGCTAGCTTCCGCCTCGGAAGCCTTCCCGCGCCTGTGCATGAGCTGTTGAGCTGTGAATGCCTCAAGCTCATCCATCATGCCATAAGCAGGCCCCGACGGTTTGTAGTCGGCGCTCTGCAAGCTCGGGGTGCGAGACTGCGGTTTCTTCTTCCCTGTTGGTACTAGGGCGTCCGAAGGACGTTGCTTGGAACTTTTTGGAGGTGGGTTGCTTCCACTCGCTACGACCAGCTCCGGTACCTCGCGATCGGCAGAGTTGCGATCCCCAGAGTTGCGATCCATCGAGACTTTCTCAATGGATTGCCTGCTGTAGGAGCTGGAAGAGCCATTTAGCAAAGAAGGGGCATTGTCATCTGGAGCGGCAGGCATGCGACCAGGCATCTGCAGCATGCTCGCCAGATTGGGCGACCTATTGGGCGGTGAAGGTGGGACGTTCTGCGAAGCACGTGAGGTTCGCTTGTTGAGGGATACTCGAGAGTAGCGTCTGGCAAGCTCGGTTTCAGCCCTCAGCTGCTCCACAGCATAACACAGGCTGTCCAAAGCTGTGGTCTGGGATGCAAGGCTTCCAGTCACACTCTGCATAAAACTCTCCGTTGGGAGGATGCGTGACTCTAAGTTTGCCAGCTGGTGCAACTTGTTTCTGATCTCCGTCAAGAATGCGTTGATGCTAGGAGTGATTTCCTTTTTCATCTCACTCCTCTGCATTTCCCATTCCAGAGTCGATGTTGATGTTGTAAGGCGTGCAGGCGCATGCATCATGTCTATGCTGGATGTGATTGAAGCTCCAAGTGCTCCCAGAGGATGCTGCTCGAGGGTATCCTCCTCCATGGCTCGGAACCCCCAGCCTGTCCGGAAAAGGGTGGGGACTACTGTACAAACAGAATCCAGAGTGTTTGGGCCTGCCATGGCCGTAGTCAGGTCCTACATGCAAGGTGCGTTCAACCTGCCACTGACGTCTCCAGTCATGACCTCGACGGCAACATGAATGTGTGCGACGACTTGACCGCTACGACCCCCATGAGGCCACAATTGTCTCACACTACTCTTGTCTAACAGCTTCAACTTTACGAGGAGATTCCGTTTGGAGACGGATGCTTGGATATGTGGCCTGTGGCGACAACAGTCTCAAGACGGCACCGCTACCGTGAGGGGGCCGACGTGGAGCATGACTAGACTGTTGCCAGTTGCTACACCTCCACAAGAGCCAGCCCATCTCTGATCTCTGGAGTGCCGAACAAAGCACGTCTCCGTGCGGCTGATGACACTCAGGTCTGTTCTCGCAGCTTCCGTCACCCGCTTCAGCAATCCTACGTCTGCAGGCAGACGTTGGAACCACCTTCCTGCGCAAGTAGCCTGCTCTTGTGCCAGCAAACTCGCGCCTGGGCTATCTCTCGACAGATCGGTAGAGATGTCCGTCGAAAATTACCCCTGCACTTCTCCCTGTCTGTCCACAGCGAGCACGGTCAACGTGCCTTCAATGAAAGACTGAAGCTGATGCACCATGCACTTCTTTAACTACAGTACAACTCGAGCCCTCCCAGTAGAATGTCAGAAGCTGTCACTTCCTGACTCGGTGAATGCAACCGTCAATTCCTTCACTTTGCAGCCCTTGCATCGAAGCACTTTCAACGGCATATCTCGAGACCCATTTGCTGCTGCTTTGACCGGGGATACCGGGAGTTTGCATCTGAGCGCCGATGGTTCTGCAACAACATGCAGCAACGCTGGCTTCATTCACTATAGACTGCTACTCGCAAAACAGCAATGCACTGGCAGCAAATCAATCGCACATTGGTTGACCAACGCCTCTCCACCCAGGGTTTTCTCGTGCGTCAGCAGCTGGAATATGAGGTATGCGACGTATGATGACCTCAGCATGGGCCCGCGTGGTGGGGTTGAACAGCGTGCGTGTGTTGCAGGCGGCCGGGCCGGGCGGGGAGGGCGGGCGGGTGGCGGGCGGGGCGAGGCTCAGCGACTTGCAAAGCTTGATGAAGGCATGCGAGCAACGGAAGAGTAGGATCCTAGTTTCTGATTCCTCATCCAGATCTGCTGCACAAGCGCCGCGCATCCACATCAGGATGCTTTGGGACGACTGCTCGTGGCAAAAGCGAGCGTGCAAGTTTTCTTTGGAATGACCACAAGCCGGTACTGAAGAGCTCTGTAAGGCGGCAGCAGAACGATGACTGCACCAATTCTCGAGACCTCTGCCAGCTGCAGCTACTGAGGGACATTCTCGTGCAGTCGCCAGGAAGGCAGCCGAAGAAGCAACTGCTACAACGCTGCAAAGGCAACAATTTGTTACACTGCTGAGTTGTCGTTCGTCGTAAGTAATAGATCTGGTTCATCAACTAATTGCAGAAAACTGGTGTTAGCGCAAGTGTCGTCGTTTTGGCGGTGCTTGTCCTCAGCATGGTGGCAGTAGCAGCAGTAGCAGCAACGTGCAGGAGCAGGAGCAGCAGGAGTAGCCGCCGGAGAAGGGCAGTAGAGTGGCGTTACCAGTAGCAGCAAAAGCAGGATGAGGAGTAGCAGCAGAACAAGCAGCATCAGCAGTAGCAGTAGTAGAAGTCGTACTAGTCCTAGCACTACTGCAGCTTTAAGTGCGGGTAGTAGTAATGGTGGTGATAATTGCTAGTAGTAGTAGTAGTAGTAGTAGCAGCAGCAGCAGCAGTAGCCGTAGTAGTAGTAGTCGTCGTCGTCGTCGTAGTCGTGGTAGTCGTCGTCGTGGTCGTCGTCGTCGTCGTGGTAGTCGTCGTCGTAGTAGTAGTAGTAGTAGTAGTAGGAGCAGCAGCAGCAGCAGCAGGAGGAGTAGTAGTAGTCGCTACGCGACGGTGGCAGTGGCAGGGAACTAGTAGTGGTCATCATCGCTGTGGCTGTCGTAGTAGCAATATGCTCTAGCCGCAGCAGCCGCAGCAGCACCAGCTACCTCTCCAGTTGTTCCGGCCTCCTAGATTCTTCTGCCAAAACTACTGAAACGACATGACACATCCCGTGCCAAAACCCCTTGCTCCTGAAAGGAACCATTCCAAGCAGTTGATTTGGTGTTTTAACTGCTATCTTCAGCTGCGCACCCATGCCTGCAGAACCGATTTGCGGTCATCGGATGGGTAGGAGTTGAAGATCGTTGGCAGTGCCTTGCAAGTTGCCCGGTATGTTGTGTTACTCTGGCAAGCGCGGGCTGCACAGTAAGATCGACGAAGCTTCGAGGCATGACTACGAGCCTACATGAGCAACAGCTTCTCTTGTTGAAATTGCAAACAGGCTTGCAAAACATGCTGAAGATGTCTACTGCGGCAGCGACGGCAGTGTAAGCGCACGGCAAAAGACATGCAGCTGAACATGAGCATCGCCATGCTGATCAGTGCAGACTTGACAGCAAACCTTAGTTGCAAGATATCTGGCAGGGATGGGATTCACGATTCCAGACAATTGCGCCGGCTGTCAAGTTTCAGCACTCACACTCGGACTTGCCTAGGCGAGGCTCCTGGTACGACGAAGTTCTTTGGCTGAGGACAGCACATTAGACATCGTATCATAAACGGTAGAAACTCAGCTGTGGCCCACCAACCCCTACTGGCAAGGCCGCAGGTCCTCAGGCCATGAGGCCACATCCGAAAGTACAGGCATTCAGCCGTGTGTCATCGCAACATCTTTTTTTTGGGCATCCTGCCGGTGGCGAGCGAGTGATCTTAAACACTTGACGCCAAGCTGCTGCCACACTGCTTTAAAGAGTATTGAAACAGGCAGCCTCCATGGCCATGACAAGAAGGGACATTTCCAAAAATAGGAGGGGCTCATACACAAGGACTTCCCACATGCTGTTGCTTGAGGCCCCTTGCTGTCTTTTGGAGAATGACCCAATACTACTCCTACGTTGGATTTGTCAAAGCTCCAACGATACTTGGACGTCAGCTACCTTGCAGTATCTGTGCCCTGCAATCAAAACTGACGAGCACCAAAATCCGCGCATACTGCAGCTGTGTGTCGATGCAGTGCAGTCGCGATTCACTGAAAACAATCTTGAGATGAGGGTACCAGGCATTTACTGGTAACCTGCCCATAAAGTTGTACCGGAGTCGCGAGGTTTGAGATCTCATGGCACCGAGTCGAACTCACCACGGGCCGAAGCGTTGCTGCCTGGGGCGGGCTGCCTTCGTGGAGGTCTGGAGAGCCTTCTCGCCCTGGGATTTCAATGCCGCTTGGGCTGCAGCCAGGCGGGCAATTGGAACGCGGAAAGGCGAACAAGAGACGTAGTCCAACCCTGTCCTCTCGCAGAACTCGATCGAAGCCGGATCGCCTCCGTGCTCTCCGCAGATGCCCATCTTCATGCCCGAACGGCTGCGGCGACCACGCTCCACTGCGATCTGGATGAGCTCGCCAACACCCTCCTGATCCAGGCTCACAAAGGGATCCTGCTCGACGATACCCTTTGCCTTGTACTCAGGCAGGAAGGCCCCTGCATCATCCCGGCTCAGGCCATACGTAGTCTGGGTCAGATCGTTGGTGCCAAAGCTAAAGAACTCCGCTTGCTCTGCGAGGCGGCCTGCTTGCAGTGCAGCTCGGGGTAGCTCCACCATGGTCCCCACGCGGTAAGTGAAATTCACGCCCTGCTCCTTCTGAACCTGCTGGGCCGTTGCCTCGATGACTTTCTTCAGCTGAACCAGTTCCTCCAGGGTCGACACCAAAGGTACCATGACCTCGGCCACCGGGGTCTTCTTGGCGCTGCGGCCGACCTGTGCTGCGGCCTCGAAGATGGCGCGAGCCTGCATCTCGCAGATCTCTGGATATGTAATGGCCAGGCGACAACCCCGGTGGCCAAGCATTGGGTTGGCCTCTTGCAGCTCGCTGGCGCGGCGGCGTACGCGATCCAGGGGCACTCCGGCTGCCTTTGCCACCAGGCCCATCTCGGCCTCCGTGTGCGGGATGAACTCATGCAAGGGAGGATCCAGCAAACGGACCGTCACTGGCAGACCGTCCATGATAATAAAGAGCTCGGTGATGTCTTCCCTCTTTTGAGCTTTTGAGAAGGAGACCACAGGGTGCCAAAGCCCTAGAGGTCACACACGCCCGTCGACGACTAGCGAGAGTCGTAGAACTCGGCGATCCGAGCCAAGCCCAGAATCGCCTCCTCCTCCCAAGCAGCTGCCGCCACCCGATCAGCATGACACGCCTCCCTGGCACTACCGGTGACCCGCCTCACAGCCAGGTCTCGAGCAGCAACATCCGCACGACCATTGATCACCCTGGCCGGCACCTCGCCACCCGGTGGAACTTGCCAAGCCGCTGGGGCCGGTTTGCCATGGCTGGGCACCCAGTGGATGGAGACATCGATGCCCGCAGACCTGACAGCCCGCCATCTCGTCCTCACATCATCAGCCAGGAGCGAAGCCTGGCCCTTGCCATCGACCGCGAGGATCGCCGCCTGGCAGTCAGAAATGACGACCAAACGACCACAGCCACGAACCAGCTGAGCCGCCATCAGCAGCCTGCGAATGCCCTCCACCTCGGCCCTGTAGGGAGATTGATCCTCACCGATGACCCCGGAACAGAAAACCGGCCCATCTTGCACAGCCACCGCCCAAGCCGCCACATCCTTGACGCAGCTGCCGTCCGTCGCGACGAAAACGACCGCCTCAGCACAAAGCTGTTTCTCGAGCTCCGCCGCCAAGTCATCGATGACCTCGTCCTCCCCCACGACGCACGGGGCAGCGGGAAGTTCAGGAACCACACGACACAACATGCGCTCCTCTGCACGGTTGACTGGAAGCGCACAACTGGGTCGCAAGTGCGCCGTGGCATCACATCTCCACAAAAGGTGAGGCCTGCTAGGCATGCGCCGGCCGCACATGCACGTGGCGATGGTCTCAACTCTCACGCCCTTCTTCGCCGCCTTGGCCCAGACCGAGCACCCCGTAACCAGCGCCGAATTCCTGCGATGTCGGTCACCTCCAGAGTGGAAAAGCTTACGGTGACCCGCCAAGACAACCAGAGAACCCGCAGGAACTCCAGGAAGAAGATCGCCTTGGGCCAAGTCACCCTCTTCTTCGCCACGATGAAGACGCTTCTTGACACGAATCGTGTCCTCCAGAGTAGCTCGCCGATGCCAATCCACCAGCCACTCCTTGATGACCTGCTCGTTGTCGAAGCCCACCTGGAAAGCACGAAGATGCCCTCGAAGGTCTCGTCGAAAAATGGTGGAACCACAAGGTGATGCCCACCACCCCAGTTCACCGAGCACCGCCGCCGCCACCGGTAACATGGAAGGCCAACGCCGCGCCGCGAGGCGAATGGACGCCTCCTCCAACCAGCAAGGCGGCCTGCACGCGAACAGAATCGCCGCCCGGATGGCCGACCATCGGCGTGCAAAAACAGGATTGCAATCCCATCCCAGCACCTCCCACCTCGCGAGCGCCGGCGTGTCACAAGCGCTCTTGCAATTGGACATGGCCAGAACCGCACGACGCAGCTGATGCAACTGCTCCTTCTCGATGCTCGCCATGGCCCCAGCCCAAGCCATCAACGGCAACACCAACGACTTGATGAAGAGGGCCTGCACCGGAAGACCCGCGGCCACAACACCAATGCACCCGAGCCTCGTGTTGGCGATCTCGATAGAGTACCGCGCCAACTGAGGAACACGACCCTGCTGGAGGAGAAACCGCACGCCCAAAGTCTCGAACTCACCGCTGTGCGAGTAGCCGAAGAGCTCCGCCGCCCGAGGGCCAACCTCGCCCTCCGCCGACGCCACCTGGCACTTTGTAGTGTCACACCGAAACTGGAAAGCAGCATCCACCCCATCGCTGAGTGCCTTTGCCGAAGAGAGCTCACCCAAAGCACGGCCCCAGAAGCTACGGTCATCGACAAAAGTCACCGCCTCACACCCTGAAGCGGCCACGGTTGCCGTCCACACCGCCATGATCGAGGCCGCGAGGAGCGGCGACAGTGGATCGCCCTGAGCAAGACCACGAGTGGCCCTGTGCCAGCAGCTGCCAACCCGGCCTCCAACAGTGAAGACCCTCCACTGCTCCTCCAAGACGCCCTGCACGAAAGAGACAAACTGCACAGGAGCCCGCAGGAACGTCAGAACCTGGCAAAGGTGGGCGCCATGGATGGAGTCAAAGTACTTGGAGACGTCCTGTCCTACCAACACCATCTCGGGGTCCTCACACGCCTCCACGATGCGCAAGAAAACGTCCCTAGTCGAGCGTTTGTGTACACCACCAAGCATCCGATGACCTAGCCAATCATCTGCCCAATCGCGCATCTCGCGCACCAACACTGAAGCCCCCAAGCGGTATGCCACGCTGAGGACAGAGATTGGCCTGTGGCCACCACTCTCCTTTGGCACCAAAGCCACACGCGCCTCGCGCCACCTTGCAGGAAGGGCAGCACACTCAAAAGCGCACTGCCAAAGGTCACTGAGTGCATGCCAAAACGGAGCTGGAAGACGAAGAAGGTGCGACGCCTCCCAGCCATCGGGCCCGCTCGCCTTGCCCACCATCTTAGAAGCAGCATGCTGCAACTTGGCAGGCGTAAAGCACGGCATAGCAATAGTGCCACCACGCGGGGGGTCGAGGGCCTCAAGGAGAGACTGCACCGGCAACTCGTCAACCTCCCCCGCCGTCCAACGAGGACACCACTCCTCCTCGGCACGCTTGATGACTTCCACCGGATGGATCGCGCGCCGCCGCACGGCCTCAGCGTCGCACCAACGTGGGTGCGCCAAGCCACCTTTCAGGGATGCCCGGCGCTTGATCCACGCCATCTGCTTCTTGGTGGAGTCTTGCATGGAAGCGTGCCACCGCTCAAAACCACGATCCCGCTCAGCCTTGGCCACAGTCTCAACTTGGGTCTGAACCCACGCTGCATGCTGCTCCATGGTAAAGTGAGGCAGCTCCCCTAGCCAAGAAAAGGAGCCCTGCAGCTCCTCCACAGCTCTAGCAATGATGTCACGAAGCCGAGTGTCCTCAGGATGTCGCGCAAGCTGAGTCAAACGGCGGGACAAGCGCCACAAGCGCACGAGCTCCAAAGATTCAAAGCACCGCGAAGCCTTGCTGCGCGGTTTGGCCTTCTGAGGCGACCACCCCGAGGACCGAGCCACCACACCATGGCCACCGCCACCCAGGACAGCCTC